AAAATATTTTTTTATATATTTTTCAGTTTTGGTTTTTTTATTTATCGGTTTAAAGGTTCAAAATTTTACAAGTTTCAAAGTTATGAGTTCGGAGGTTTATGTGTTTGGAAGTTTACGGGTTTAGAAATTATAAAGTTTACGGGTTAGAAATTCCGCGGTTTCCAAAGTTTAGCGGTTTGAAAGTTTATGAAAAATGTGGGTTCGAATGGTTGTTGGTTTGAAAGTTTATGGTTTCATGTTTATTATATCAAAAATTATTTATGAATACTCTTAAGAAGTCATTTTCCTTAATTTACGTACCAAACACTGGAAAATGAATAAGATTACTACTTGTTTTTCAAAAAATATTTTCTTGGAAAACATTTTCCGTTATACCAAACACACCCTTAGTGTTTACTTTTTCTAGTTGATATAAATAGATTATATACTAATTACTTACGATTACACATATTTTAATACACTTGAATTACACATATTTAACACTCATTTAACCGGTTTGGTGGATCACTATTTAGGTTAATTTTTCTTTTACAAAAAACACATTGAAATCCTAAAAAGTTGAACCCCCCCCCCCCCCCCACAAGAAAAAAAAGGAGTGCAACGTAATAAATAAATAAACAAATGGAAAACAGTAAAAGTTTGTCAAAAGAATGATACACTCCAATAAAAGGTATATATACCTGAATTATGGCAACACGTAAGACATCCCCATGCAAACCAATAAGAATAGAAGCAATAGCCATAGCTGCTGGTCCAGCTATGAACCTCAACACCATTCCAAACACTGTCAGACTTGCACCACATGCTATCACTTTCTCTTGTAATGCCATAAACATCCCTGCACTCATTTAAACAAACCATATTTCAACTAAATGTTTGATTTTATATTATGGTATTGTAATTAGAGTTTATTCGCCATCATATTTCTTTCTAAACTGCTATAATTTTTGTTTTCCCTGAGTTGAGGGTCTATCAGAAACAGTCTCTCTATCTGTACAAGATAGGTGTAAGATCTGTGTACATACTATCCTTCTCAGACCTCATTTATAGAATTACACAAGATATATTAATGTTGCTGTAATTAGAGTTTATTTTTCTATATACTGTAATGTAAGAAACATCTACATAATCAAATATCTTATAAGATATAAGTACAAGTAAATTTTTACAATAAATATTACTGTAATTAATTGGCTGGTAACACTAAATCCCTGTAAGAATTAATAAAATGTTATGAATGCACAAATTAAATATTCCCTTACCCATGCTAAACATGGCAGTGCCTGTGCCAGCCCTTGACATTATCAGAATAGAGCCTTCCATGATGCTTGGCATTTGAAAGTGCCACCTAATTAATCAAATTAAAATCAACCAAATTAAGATATTAAATAAGCCAATTCTCAAACTATATGAGCAAAACCAAAATCTTGACTTAGCTCAATGTTATTTAGCTTTATATATATATCATTTATCTAACTGATATATTGCCTTTTCATCTAATTATACAAAAGGTAATTACAGATAAATCTATATAATAATCATTTATCAATATCTGATAAATTAAATTGATAGAATTTAACTTGTATATATTGACTGTGTAAAGAAATATTATACTATTAGTGTATTTAAACTTGTTATAGCAGGTACGCTATATTACCTTTTAGGTTATTGATTTCATTTTTTTTTTTTACGAATGGTTACTTATGGTTATCTTCGAGTAATGTAATAGTATAAAAGTTTTTTTTGAAATACTATTAGTGTATTAAATTTAAGTTCAAAATTTGCATATTAGTTAAAAGGTACTGTACAAACCTGTTCGATATAAGTGCCCAAGTCAGGCCAAAGATACAAGCATATGAATTAGGATTGGTAGCAAGTTTCAACCACACTGTCTTTGTCAAACACCAAAATGAAGGCCTTGTGATGCTTGTCACCACCTTTCTATTATTTCCTTCCAAATCTTTCCCATTTTCTGATACAATATTATTATTATTCATGTCTCCAACAGCAGAATCTAAGCTGAAATCACTCCTTGTTCTCCTCACCTCCAACACAAACAATAGAACAGTTAGCCACACAATTGCTTGTGTAACTGAAGACTGTACAACTAAATGTACAGCTTCCTCACCATACATGGCTTTCATAAGAGGTACTCCTACCACGAGCGAATTAGTAAGTGCGGACAAAGAAAAACTCGTTATAGACCAACGATAACTCCCTTTGCTACTACACTTTGCCCAAAACCCTAGCACCGCGACTATGATCGCCTTTGAGATGGCATCAGCTCCAAGGAACTTGTAATTCATATCGAAAGGATCAACGTGAGCTGTGAATTCGAAGGTGAAAAGTGGGAGAGTGAAATAACAAACGAGTTGATTGATGGCATCGCATTGATCCGTTGTGAAAATTCGCCACCATTTTACTGAGGCATAGCCTAAAATTAGGGCAACATAAAGTGGTGCCATTGCTACCACAACTTTGTAAACATCTTCCCACCCTATCATTTTCAAATAATCAAGAAAATAGATATTGAGAAGAGTATCTAGGTCTAATTTTTTGGATGAATGAAATAAAGTGTTAGGCAGGGTATTTATATGCATAGAACAAAGGAATACGTTGATTGATTGATCATGCATAATTTTGCATGTTGGGAAGTGTATAGGATTCTCTGTATTAAATACCCTAAAAGGTGACATTTTTTTTAATGGTGATTGAATGAAAGGTCATGTAATTTTCACCATGCATTGTGTTCTTTTTGTCTTTGCGTTAGCGATCTAAAGAATATGGAATATAATGCGATCCAGCAGTTAATTCCATCCACCTTTAATTTTCAGATTGGGTTTTGGTGTTTTGTCTATATGCATCTATGTGTGTATGCGTACTTTTCTTTATTTTATTTTAAAATTCTTCTTTCTGTTACCTTTTATGTAGACTTATTTTCTCCGTGTAACATATAGGTCACGATTTCGAGTTTTTGTATAGGGATTTTTACCTAGTTATACTATAATAAAAACCTATTTACCACATTTATTTAGGTTCCTTATTAATTACTTTGTATAGCTATATTTACTAGTTCTATACAAAATCATAAAAAAGAAGAAATTCAAGATCCCTTAAATCTAGCCTATCAGTTACATCACCCAACCATCATTTCCTATAATTCCCCATACATTTAAGATTCTTTCCTTTTACAAAAGATTACAAAAACATCTTCTCTCTTTCTTAACAATTATCCAAAATTATTCTTACCCACAGTAAGAAATTTCGTTTACCCACTTTTATCCAATTACTTACCCAAAATCTTGCTTACCCATTGTTACCCTCCCCCCCCCCCTCCCCGCCCACCCAAAACTACAGATTTTTTTGCTTTTTCAAAGCTTTTGAAATTCAATTTCTCTCTTTCTTGCTAATCACCCAAAATCTCTATTTTTTTTATTGATATAATGCAGACGAAATTCGAAAATATTGCTCTAGAATCAAGTTGTGGGTAAGTTTTGAATCTTGTTTTCTTTCTTTCTAAATTCTTTATTGTATGTGACTTGTATATGATATATCAATACCCAAAATAATACTCGGTACAATACCAATACAATTATATCAAATTTTTTTGTGTAGAATTGTGATTGAAACTTGAAGAAAATGAAGATCATAATTGTGTCATAATTTTTCATAAATATATCGTGATTGTATTATAATTGTATATGTATCATAATTGTTGCACGAATTGTATTACAAATGTATGATTATTGTATATTCATTGTATGTTGTTACGAGCAGTTGTGCGTTCATGACGAATTTCACAGTTTGTATCACAAGTATGATAATTGTATATNTGGTAGTACAAATGTATGATTATTGTATATTCATTGTATGTTGTTACGAGCAGTTGTGCGTTCATGACGAATTTCACAGTTTGTATCACAAGTATGATAATTGTATATTAACTTATTAGTATTGTACCAGGTATTTATTTTGGGTATTAATATACCAGATACAAGTTAGATACAATTGTGATACAAGTATGATACATTTATGTTTTAAGCATTTATGTATCTGATACAATTATGATACAGTTATCCTACAATTATCATAAAATTTCAAAATATTTTTTAATAATATAAAGTTATCGGTAATGGTGGGAAGAGAGAAGATGAAGATTTTGGGCGTAGATTAAGGGTTTTGGTGTAAAAGAAAAGGAGAGAGAAGAGGAGAGGGGAAAAAAGGAAAGGATATAATTGAATCCCTTAATTGAAGGCACTAATAATGGAGTGGTAGTCTTTTAAGAAGCAATATATATAGTTTGTAAGAAAAATCTAGATACTTATTAAAAACTTCAAAACATAGAGAACATAGGTAAATAAGTTTCTAATATATTATAGCTAGGTAAAAATCCCTTTAGTATAGTTGCATTAGGGCCCCTTGGGGTGCGGCCCATTTTCAAACTTTACGTGAACACAGAATACTTCGTGTACCGGATTGCCGTTTTATTTTCTCAATTCAAAATGCATAAACATCTAATAATTAAGGAGTAATAGATAAGTTAATTTTTTCATGGAAGAAATCATAAGAGACTTATATAGCCTCTTTGACCGAGCTTCTCCAAAGCCAAAAGTATTTTTTTTAAATGTATTTTTTCAAAGTTGAAGTGTTTGACCAAGCTTTAGAAGGAAAAAAAATGTGTTTTTGAGTAGAAGCAGAATCAATTTTGGAAAAGTAGAAAAAAAATATATTCGATCTCTCCAAAAATACTTTTTTGAAAATCACTTTTGAGAAAAGAAAAAAACACATAGAAACACATTTTAAAAGCTTGAACACTAATTGCTGCTCAAAAGTGCTTTTCAAATTAATTAGCCAAACACAAATTATTTTTTACCAAAAGTACTCAGGCTATTATTAGATAGAGATAAATCCAATTAAGCTCCAAAACATGGGCCAGCAACTCGGAGCAACATTTTAGCTATACCCTCTCTTAATTTCACAGTGTTTACATTCGTAATTAGTAGTAGTATTTAATTAGGGTATTCCAATTAAGAATACAAATGAAGCGCAGAGTGTAAATTTGCTCTTTGGTGAAACATCAACAAATGGAATAATTTGGTGATATCATATTTGAGCCTGTTGTTGGATGAATGAGGTCTTGAAATTATTGCTTTGCTAAGAGCCTGTTGTCTGATTCTTCTTGCGTTTTAAATGGTTGGCCAAGTAATGGTACACGTAACATATTCAATATCAACGGAATATAGGAATGACTTAGCTTGTTGACAATCAACTCATACTCCAAGTTTCAAGTTTATATTATTTGACATAGGCATAAAAAAAATGGAGAAAAAGTAATTAAAAAATTAATTACATATGAAACGCTTAGTTGATGAGGGAACTATTCTCGTGGAAAGATAATACGTGGAGTTTTCTTTTATTTGTTACTACCGCTCCCTTATATTTGGGGATCATGACATCAACCGATTTTAGGTAAGAGACACCTCTTGATTGTTCATTGTAAAAAGTGGAGTAGTTGATTTGAGAAATCACAGTTTATTCCTTTATTTATGATACGGAAGATATAATATCAACAATTTCTTTTCCTTAGACTAACGTAATGTTCTTCCGCAGTATGGCCATTATTTTATAAGCTTAACTTATAGTATGTATTAATAGTGTAAAAATTTATTATAGTCCAATTACTATTTGTAATGATAATTAGTAGTATCTGATTAGTACCTTTGCATTCTGTGGTTGCAAAGGTTTAGTTTTTACCGGACACTACTCTTCCCTTGCTCCTTCTGTTAGGATCGAAATAATTAATCAGGTATCATGCGAAAGCTAGCTGTTGGATTTATTTTCTATTTGGGCCGCGGGTCGCTCCATGTGGGCTGACCCGACCCATTTATGAATAGATAAGAATAAATAACCTCTTATGAGAAGTTATTTCAAACGTTTAGTTTTGTGGCAGCATATTCTACACGGTTATTTTTTTTCTTCTGGGAGGGAATAATTTTTTCTTCAAGAACTGCTTTTTTCCTTAACCCTAAATAAAAGGGAACATACGTACTCTTCAGAGAGACACCAGAAGAAGAAGAAAAATACAGAGAACTAATCTCCTTTTTCTCACAAGAAATACACAGAGGACACTTAGTTTGTAAAGAGTATTTCATTTCCAAGAGAGACGAAATCGAACTTGAGCAATTGATCAAACCAGGTTCTTCAAGACTTCCGCTACTGTTAACAGGTACACAATTAGATATCCCTGTTACTACTTAATCTTCATTGGTATCAAAGCATGGTTGTATCCGTACTTCGTGTTCTCCGCTGCAATTTTTATCCTTATAAAGAAAAGTTTGCATTCTATCTTTGCTTGAGGAGTCTGTGGCCATCAAGAGTGATAAAAGTACACTCGAATCTCCTTCAGTTCGTCAATAATAGTGATGATAACTAGTGATCATATTTTAAAGCTTTAAGTACCTTATAATACTTTGAATTACACTTAGGCTGTCAATTTGATGGTTTGCTGATTAACAACGTACAATTGTTGAAGCATCAACGAATTGACCAACCAGTAACCATTAAATGACTACTTCTGGACATCAATCAAATTGCTGGAAAAACCATGAAAAGAACAACCTGCTTGCTTGTTTGTGTGTGTTGCTAACAAAGGTTTCAAAATAAAGAAATAAAAAAATATTGAACTGAAAATATGTGGGATCTCTGTGTCTTGATAGCTATGATATCTTTGGCATGTGTAAAGATTTTTCTTTGCCACTTGGATGACATTATGTATTTGCTTATTTGCCAAAGTTAAATGGGTCCCGTAAGGCACTATGAAAATAGTTTCCATGGTAATTATGATTTCTACAGTATTCCATTCCTTATCTTGTATTGAAAAAAATTGGGTTTACATATTAAAGAGGTATGAAGATGACGTGTCGTGACACATAGACTGGTCAAAGAATTACAACTGGTAAGGAGGCACGAGTTGCAATAGATACGAGCAGAGAGCAAAAGAAGAGGCACGAGCGGTTATTCAAAAAGAGGCAACGCTCGTACCTGTTCAAATCATTTAAGCCCAAGAGTCAAAGAGAATGAATCTGACAGCACACGAGAGTCCAGATACAGTATTTAATGAGCATTAAATACCAAAAACGTTAGAGAATCTGTATTAAATATAATGATTATGTAACGTAGCATTTAATGTCTTTAATGTCTTTAATTGCCCATAATAGCCTTATTATGACACAGGCAAAACGCATATCTCCAAGGTACCTATAAAAGGGAGATAACTGATCAATTGTAAGGACACGAAACACTATCTGAATATACTTTGATTTACTTGTTTCTCTTGATTACATTCTTGCTATCCAAATTGCTTTCTTTTATACATTTTTTTGATTATCAGTAACCCGTGTTCTTCTAAATTATAAGCTTTAATCGAAATTCCATTTTTTTGGTTAAACAAATTGGTTCCGTTGCCGGAAATCTGATAATCTATTTTTTTCAACCTTGTCTATTTCGTTACATCAACGATCATGTCAAATGTTAACGATAACACCCAGGGAAACCAAGGAAACCATCAAC